TACATGTCAGGCCAAGAAGATGTAATCTTTTTCTGGGGAAATCGTTGTTTTATATTATTCTAAAGATGACCTTGTAAATTTTTACCGAGTGCTTAGGATCTCCTAGCGCTTCATTTTCTTCCATGGTCACAATATACATTCCAAGCTCTTTTCTAAAACATGAAAAACCTCCACGGTAGCTTCTTTCCTAGCTCCCCAGCAACCTCTTACACTGACGTCTTTCTCAATCCCCAGATTATAGCCAACCATATTTACGTGCACTTCTGAAAATACATAACTATATTGGTTGTATATATTTTCAATATTCTTTTAAAAAAATTTTCTGCCTGGATGCACCTCTATCCTTTCTTTATTTGGGTCACATCTTTTTGAGAGCTCATCTTGTACTCCTATTTCCTCTTCTTGGAAGAATTTCTAAAGCTGGCTTCCCAGTTGAAAATAGCTGTCAAGTCTGAGCCATCCTGTCATCTCTGCCGCTCGCTGGCTGTGTGGCCTTCGGTAACTTACTAACTTTTCTGTGCATCACATTTTCATCTGTATAATCTAGGTAACAATATTACCTAGTTTACGTTATTCTGAGTATTAAATTGATAATCTAACATAGCACCAAAGACCATACCTGGTATAAGAAGTAAATGCTCAATATGTATTAGCCTCTTTTAGTCATGGCTTTTATTTTCTCACACTTTGACATCTTAGGGTATTGGGGACCCTGGAGAGACTGATCCTACTAGGGCGAGCTAATACCTAGAGATAACGAATAACTTGCATGTGAGCTGCCCTTCCTATGCAAACTAAGAAATCCAGAGCCTATACCCACAACCACCTCCTTTATCTGGCTCTCACACACTGGGACACTATCCACGTGCCCTTATCGCCTCAGAACCAGGAATCACAAAACTAGGCCCAGCCCCTATGCTCCAGAGCCCACTGAAATTATTCAAACTAGCCGATCGTCATTCTGTTTACCCTGCATTACATGTTACTTCCTGAAGATATCAAATAAAGCCTCTTATCCGCATTTTTCCCTTGCACCCCCTCCCTTCTGACTGACTCTGCTACTTCTCATTGCAGCATCCCAGGGTGTGGTGTGCTCCCCACACTTGGGGTCTGTGAGTGTAACAAACTGTCTTTTCAATGGCACTCATCTCCTGAACTGTTAGCCTTGCCATACCTAAATAAAAATAAAATCCACACTTTAAAATCTATTTGCTATTATCATTATCTTCATCATAATGATTATTACTTTTACTGTCAGTTCATCCCTGTATCAGAACCCTTAACATGCCATATGCAATTGCCTACTTATTTATCTGTATCTCTGTCAAGATCATCAACATCTTGAGAACAAAGGATTTGTCTCTAATCTTTGTATCTCCTTTACAGTACTTAACTCATAAGCAATCACATTCTTCAATAAATGGAAGAAAGGTTCTCTTTCACATCGAATTCCCAATTCTATACCCTTATTTTGGGAAGAAACATTTCTGATTACTTCAAGAGTATCTAACTAAAAGTGGATATAAACATTTTAAAAGTGGAGCTACTGCATTGTTCTGACTTCTCTCCGTAATTGGTTCTGTGGTCTTGGATTTTTGGAAGGAGCAACAGACCCTGTCACTCTATTCTGCCATCCAGTCCCTCCTTTCTCGGATTCCTCACCTTAACTCCTTTCCTGGGCACTAGCTTATAGTCCTGTTCAACCTTCTTCTTTGCTTCTAAGAAGAGATTGTGCCCTCCAGGAACAGAGAAAGTTCCTCTTGAAATCCTTTCCATCAGGGGCTCTGCTAGCTGCTTAAGCTCAGCCTGGCAATATGTGACAGATGCCTCTTCATTCTGCAGTGAGAAATCTTCCTTCTTTTTCTCTATGGTGTCCTGTGAATGTGATGGAAAAATATAAAAGAAGTTGTTAGAGTGAACGGTTCCATGATCTTGTTGGAAGAAGCTGCCTGACAGCCCCAGAGAGGACTAGGTCAGGGAAAGGACCAGGAGTCAGGAGACATTTTTTCATCCCACTTCCGACCAATACTCTTTGTGACCTGGAGAGTCCCTTAACTCCTTTGAGGCCAGGCTCTTCATCTGTAAAATGATGGGGTTGGAAGATATAAACTGCATGGTTACTTCAGTGATAGTATGGTTAACAGTGATCCAATCATCAACCCTGGGCAATGACAAATTGAATTGTGGCAGAAGACTGTCCTCAAGAACATGGGTTGCTATGGATGAAAATGTATGCATTAAAAAAATGTCCTCCCAGTAACGA